CTCTGGGGGTTGTGGTGGTTGTTGTGACTGTAGTAATACTGGTGATGTGTGGTTCTCTAACAGTTGTGGTAGTGGACATGACAGCCGGGATGATTGCGGTTGACGTTCTGGGGGATTGTGGTTTTTAGATGAGGGCGATGTGGCGTCCTCTACTTGGGTGTGTCAGATGGTGAAAAGAAATATCCAATTATTGTCACCTTCCATGTATCACTTCTAAACCCTCCTCCCAAGTTGTACAGTACTTTCAAACATCGACCATACTTAAACTTACACCTCGCCTCAAAATATGGACCCCCCTCTTAATCACTCCCACAAGACGGGACGCAACGCGACAGGATGTTATCGTGGATCATTCGTTGGTGCTGCGAGCCCTTCCTCGACAGGTTTCAGTGTAGGGTCCGGCTTGGGACACCAACCAGGACAGTATCACAACCTTGGACAAGGGGTCGAGACGAATCCCGGGACAGGTCTTTGGGAATGCTAGCCATTAGCGGTCTCCCGCTTGTAAGGTAACGTCGTGGACATTTATACCGTGTCGACTACCCCCCCACACCCACGGGGACCTCCACTAGTGCCAGGGCCGCGAAAATATGCAAATACCTAAACATACCACAATCTGTAATCGTGGAGAACACCGTCACACACTTGGTGGTACATTGAATTTTATGACCCAGCCTTGGAATAGCAAGTCTATAAAATGGAAAGTCGGAGGCGTCCATTCTCCACTTTTATTCACACCATTGCAAATTGTAGGAGTGGCAGCCAAGTCTGCAGCTACAACTGTTTATGTAACTGTTGCCGTATGTGACTCTGGGGTTTAGAGGAAAGTAAAGGTGTGGAGGAGAAAGCGGTAGGATCATTTATATCGATTCCATATATGACGCGCTCACACACCTTCACTTTTCTTGATAACTTAAGTGTCAGGATCACACCGAATACCACAGGTCCCCGCCCGTATTTAATCACATGACTCGCAGTACTACCGACTCCGTGATAAACAATCCGCTGTGTCTGCCTTGGATAGCCTGGTCCAGGTGTGGTAGAAGTGTTGTGTTGTGGACAGCTGTTAGGCACATGTACGACCCGCAGGTGTTGCTGCATCACCTCCATGGCTCTCAGTTCTGGCTGTGCCACCATTATGCCATTGATCTTCACTGGTTCCTATTATACACTGGTCAACATAAAAAAAAATTCTCATGGTTCTGGATCAAAACAGTCTGAGTCTAGTGTAATTGTATGTGCTGAATTCAATTATGACATTCGTATAGCTGTATCAGGCTCAGTTTTCCAGAACCAGCATATCTATATATTTAGTGTACCATGCTATTCATACAGTAATTTATATGCTCATTGGCTCCACTTATGCAATTATTTTGTCCTGATTTGTGCTTTTTTGTTTGTTTCAGTTTGCTGATTCATGATATTGCATATCTACACCTGCATGATTTGTAATTACTCTGAAATTAACAAAACATGGAACGTCGCAAGTGTGTGAACGGTGCTGACAGTTTTTGCTACATATGTGGTGCCTTCACTCCTGGTAGCCTCAAGAAACCAATCACAAAAGCTGTTCGACTGAACTACAAAAGTTACTTCAAATGTCATTTGGGTGACCAAGACAAGAAATGGGCACCTCATGTAGCCTGTAAGTCTTGTGTTAACCACCTGAGCGAGTGGATGTGTGGTAAACGAAGTTCAGGAATGCCGTTTGCTGTACCAATGATATGGCGTGAACCTAAAGACCACAGTAGTGACTGCTACTTCTGTCTCACAAATATTAAGGGAATAAAAATCAAGACACGAGGCAAGGTACAGTACCCCAATATTGCTTCTGCAATCCGACCAGTACCGCACAGTGCTGAACTTCCAGTCCCAAATCCACCGACTGAACAAGAATTGAGTGATTCCGATTCTACCTCTATCTCAATGGAAAACGACTACCAGGATGACTCTGAAAATACCAGGCCTAAACTATTTACTCAAGAAGCGCTTCATGATCTCATCAGGGACCTAAACTTGTCAAAGAAAAGGCTGAAGTTTTGGGATCCAGACTAAAGCAGCATAACCTGCTAGAAGATGGAGTGCATATCACTACATCGCGTTGCCGACATAGACAGCTGTCTGTATTTTTCAAGATGGCAAACAACCTTTGTTATTGCGAGGACGCAGTATCTCTCATGCAACAACTCTGCAAGTCTGAAACATACAAGACAGAGGATTGGAGGCTGTTTATAGACTCAGGAAAAGACTCTCTGAAAGCTGTTCTTTTACACAATGGCAATCGGCTTCCATCTGTCCCAATAGCACACGCAACAAAAATGACTGAGAGCTATGAAACAATGAAAATTCTGTTGGCTGCTATAGAGTATGAGAAACACCAGTGGAAGATATGTGGCGATCTCAAAGTCATCAGTTTACTATTGGGCCTTCAGAGTGGCTACACAAAGCACATGTGCTTTTTGTGCTTGTGGAACAGCAGAGCTGATGCAGAGCACTATGTGAGAAAGGATTGGCCGACAAGACCAAGAGATGCGCCTGGAAGGTTTAACTGTGCTCACAATCCGCTTGTAGATCCAGAAAAGATATTTTTGCCTCCACTGCATCTAAAGCTCGGTTTGGCTAAAAATTTCATCAAAGCTATGGATCAATTCGGTGCTGGGACTCTATACTTATCTCAGAAACTAGGTGGTGTGGTTTCCGAAGCCAAGTTGAAAGCAGGTGTCTTGAATGGACCACAAATTCGTATACTAGTTAATGATAGCGAATTCACCAAAACATTGAACCCACTGGAGAAAAAGCATGGGAATCATTTGTCAATGTGTCAAAGAATTTTCTTGGAAACTATCGTGCTGACAACTACAAAGAAATCGTAACAACCATGCTTCAGAATTATCATGCATTGGGAGCAAGGATGTCCTTGAAATTGCATTTTTTCCACTCTCATATTGAATTTTTCCCAGGTAACCTTGGAGACGTTAGTGATGAACACGGCGAAAGATTTCATCAAGATATCGCCATAATGGAGAGCAGATATCAGGGACAATTCAGTCCTAACATGATGGGCGACTATTGCTGGACACTGCAACGAGAAGAGAGCAAGCTGTACAAGAGAAAGAGTAAAGTTCAGAAGCACTTTTAGAACTTCATATTTTGTCATTATAAAGGATTTGAACTTATGTTTTTTGGTACAATTTTTTATGAGCTTATCTGTGATAGGTTTAAAATTGTATCTTGCATGACGCGATAATGTTACTATATTTACTATTTTTTTTATTCTTTAAGAAAGTAGGTCTGATGGTAGAATGAAACATCCAATTAATATTCATTAATATGAAATTAGTCATGAAGGCACAGTCACATGAGATAATCTCATCTTTTGCACGACACGTGATGGAATATTAAATAATTGTACCTATTGATTTTTTTATAAAACCTGGTCTGATAGAACAAAACAAATATCAGATACGAATTCAGCAATATGAAATTAGTTGTGTGAGCATGATCTCATATGTGAACCATTTTGGCTGTTGACCAGTGTTATGTATCGTTGAATGGCTTAAGCTCACAACACGCAGCACGTGGTCAGTATATTGTTACATATATATATATATATATATATATATATATATATATATATATATATATATATATATATATATATATATATATATATATATATATATACACACACACACACACACACACACACACACACACACACACACACACACATGAGACCGCTGATCACGTGTTGAGGAGCAGACGCACAATTTTCACATTATTTGCGGAACTTGAGACTTTTATAACATTTAGATAACATAAATATGTATAGAATATATAAATAATTTATCACACACACACATCAACAGTGACGGACTGTTATCGGGAGTTCGGCCATTATTCCCTATGATCTGGTGAGCACCAGTGGGGGCTGGTCGGGGCTTACAGTACAGTAGATACCCAACTACCAAGTAAACAAAGACTGGACACCTTCTGACATTTTGGTGTCTGTCAGTAGACTATATGGGAGTAAGTTTATTGTCTCCTAATTCAAATACGTCGCGGGTTTTCTAAGAATCTGATAGCCCCGATATAGTGTCAAGTGGGGGGAGGGGGGGAGGGGATGGTCTTTCTTATAACAGTGTCGGGTGGAGCCAAAGGGAAAAATTAATATTTAAATATCATTTTGCATCTAAATCTAGAAGAGAATTTACTCGAATAATAAGTAACAAAATGATGATATATATTCACCACTGAAGGAGAATGTTGATCACTCGTTTGCATCATTGTGCCCTGTTCAATACGGGTGAGACGCCTGACGATTCAAGTCTCCTTTCTTGACGTTAACTTGGCGGACGACTTGTGGAGTTGGCTCAGGACTGGTTCATTAATTATAGCAGGTATGTTACTGCCTTGTTTTTGTTTATTTTTAGAGAAGTAACATTTTTGTTTGTTGATTTTCAGAATCATGAGACGGGCGTGTAGGTAGCTAACCATGGCGGTGGTGGCTACTGAAACAGGGGGGCCATCCATCCCTCAGGCCCCCCGCCAAAAACCACACACCTACCCTGTCACCACCCACGCCGTCGCCACCTTCAGCCCCCGCCACTGCTTCGCCCTCACCACAGGCCGCCTGCTGTGGTGGGCCTCCCTATTGTTGCTGTGGTTCTGCTGCCTTCACCACGTCCATTCACAGAAGTGTATCAAGTTGGCAGAAAGGAACCTTATCTGTGAGTGTGTGTGTGTGTGGATACTTTATCTACTGTGTGTGTGTACCTAATGAGTGTATACTTTGCCTCGCTAACCACTACCCAAACACACCTCATTATCCATTACCACAAACACACCACGTTAACCTTTCCCAGGACATACTTCGCTAACCATTCCCGAAACACACCTCATTTACTATTCCTCAAACACACCTCTTTAACCACTCCCTAAACACACCTCGTTAACCACTCCCTAAACACACCTCGTTAACCACGCCCTAAACACACTTCATTAACCATTCCCAGAACATACCTCGTTAACCACTCCCAAAATACACCTCATTAACCATTCCCCCAAACACACCTCGTTAACCACCCCTCAAATCATGCACAACAGATCGTAAGTTATGAAATTTCGTGTTCAATATTATATTCAAAGGGTCTTTAAGGGTTTGAGGAACTGCAATTTTTTTTCTAAATAATGCGTGTATTCTTTTTTTTTTCAGTACCTCCACCCAGATATGTGTACGACAAGCGGGAACAGCGTCAACTGGCCATTACGCTGGACACTTCCCAGAGGATCTCCCACCAGCTCACCACCGCTGTTGTCAAGATATTGCTGGAGGTGAGTGTTGTTGCCACTCCTCAACTCTTGTGCTAGAATTTTGACTGTATCTCACCTTCCCATTTTATCCTAGAAATTTACATGATTTTAATACAAATCTGCACAATATGCTGGAACCCAACATCATATATATATATATATATATATATATATATATATATATATATATATATATATATATATATATATATATATATATATATATATATATATATATATATATATATATATATATATATATATACATATATATACATATACAGTATATGCAAGTAAATCACTGTAGGTGCGCGTGATCTAGGTATATGCTGATAACCACGAGGAAAGAAGAAAACACGAAGTTCCCAAGCGCTTTCGTGTAACTAGACTTAAACAACATAAATATAGTGTTAGGACAGGCCAGGAATCCAATGCTCTGTTTGTTCATTTGAGGAATAACAAGCATTGCATTGACTGGGATAATGCCCCCTCAATATTACCTTGTAATTCAATTGCTAGTAGGAACATCATAGAATCTAGTCTCATTAAACATACCAAAGCATTCAACATGAATTTGAGTAATGGCATGTACAAACTGGACAATTTTGTAATTAAGAAGATTTGTAACCAGGTGAGAAGGTTGGGTCACCTTACCCTCTGACCTGACTACCGACCGTTGCCGTGCTATTTAAAGATTAGTAGGGTCATTACCTAATACCTGACTGCTGGACCCGGAGCTGCGAAGACCTGCCTCTTTTGCTGCATGTTTGAGCAGTCTGCAACTTTGTTGTGATAGGACACTCAATCCTAGTGATTGTACTTACTCAACATAGTGACGGTGTAATTACCATCACAGATTGTACGGAAAATTCCAACTTCTGGAAAACAAATATTTGGGCTCCCCAAATTTTGACTACTACCCGTGCGTCTACGTCCTGGATTGGCCAATCAGTGGTGCCCCACGGTGGCGTGATACATGCACGTTTACTGCGGTGCTCTGATTGGCTAACCGAACGTGGCGTGGTAGGTAGGCTGTTTCTACTCTCTAAGTCCTCTTCTTTCCTTTTTTCATCCCCCTCATGCACTCCGTTCTTTGAACGGGAGGCGGGACTTAGCGATACGGTCGATCCGGCAAGGGAACCTGTGATAGTGCAGGGCACCCCTTGTCCGGGGGTCACCGGTAGGTGGCAACTTTCTTAGACATAACTATAGTCACAGGTAACCTGGGTGCAGAACCCTACGAGCCCGACGCCCGTCCAAGAGGGGGGGGCGGGGTCACTGCTCCCAGGCAGGAGCCCTGTGTTATAGGTAGGATTAGATGTAATCAAGAAGATGACAACAAGCATTAGAATAAAACATAGAGATAAGGGACACTCTATTGGAAGGGGAAAAGTGGCAGAAATCACTTACAACAAATTGCAAGTCCCACTAACAAGAATATTCAGCACCAATGAAGGTTTTAAAGTAATCTGTAAAGATGACTTTGATTCAGATAAAATCCTTTCAAAAGAAGCCAGAGATATATTTTACAATGAAGGCCTTGTTGTTGTCATGCCACCAGAACAAAAAGCAAACAGATCAGTTTTCGTTCGTCAAGTCGACCAAGAGATCGGGAGGAAGACATCTGAAGACCTGAAAGATGAACTGGAACGCCAAAACAGGTGGATGAAGATTGAAGAAGTCATTAAGATAAAAGACTATACTCATGTTTTTAAGATTACTTTTGAAGAAGTGTCAATGGCTGAGAAAGTTTTACAACAGGGCTTTCTAATATTCAACATGTCAGTCACACCACATCAAATAAAGAAGGAGACATTCATTCAGTCTGCAAACTTGCTTCTCCTGCTACAAATATGAAGAACACACAACGAGAGACTGTCCGGAAAAAGAAAAAAGTACTGCTCAGATTGTGCAGGCGACGACCATACCTACACTGAATGTAAGAATACACATGTTGGCTGTCTCAACTGTAAGAGAAACGGGAATGTATACATAGGACATAGGACGTTAGCAATGGCATGCTCAATAAAAAAACACATGATAAAGTACAAGGAACAAGGAAAAAGGAACAAGACAAGGTTACGACATACATCGAAATAGCCAAGAGAGCGATCCAAGAGGCTCACAGACCAGAATCCACCACATTAAACTTAAGTGAACCAATACATGACAAGGTAATGATTAGTATGATCCATGCACATTTGCACAATATCATTGCACCCGGATCATACAATGAGGAATTAAGGAAAATGTTTAAATTGAATAGCCTACCAGAGATGATATTTCCAGAGAATCCACAATCCGAAAAACTATTTCAGGCAACATACTCAAGCGAACTGAGAGAAAGACTACAGCTAGACAAACAAAGGTTTGAGCAAGGAGCAACAGCTGATACACAAGGAACACAAGCGACTGATAGAGATCCCAGACAAATGACTAGAAGTGACAAAGAGAAGATAGAAATAACAAAAGGACAGACTATAAGACAAAGGAGTAGGAGGAGAGAAGATAAGATGGAAACTGAACACAATATACAACCTGAATCTGCTGAAGATATTGGATTAAAAGTTATCACTACAACAAAACATGGAATCCCAACATCGAGACCAACAGGAGGGACAATAGTAAAAAACTGTGAAGGAGGGATATACAAGTGGACATATCAAGAAAAATCCCTAAGTGAAGATTATGTCTGGTCACTAATTACTACGGACAAACTAAAGATTACGACCAATGACTTTAAAATAGTAGACCCGTCAGAGTTTAGAAGAGTCAGAAGCGGGAAACAGGATGATAGGTCTCCACTTCAACAGTTACAATCCAAGTATAAGAAATAATGGACAATAGACAAACAGTAAGAACTTTAAGAATAATACAACACAACGTAAGAAACTGGAAGACCGAGAGAATTAACCTAAGTAATATATATCAAGAAATTGACCCTGACATTATACTAATAAACAGTCACGGTGAGACAGAAAACAACAACATAAAACTCTTTAACTATTATGTAAACCAAAGAAATAAATCGGGCGAGAAAAATGACGGAGTAGCGATAGCGGTTAAAAGAAACTTAAAATTTAAACTAATCGATGACTTCCAGGATGAATTTCTAGCAATAAAAATAAATACAACTCAAGGAGACGTAATTATTGCTACTACTTATCTCCCACCGAGACGACCCTACTTACCTATAGAAGACCTATTAAAATTGGCTAACAACAGTCATCCGATGTACATCTTAGGAGACTTTAACGCCAGACATAGGATTTTTGACAATACAAATAATAACGCCGTGGGAAACGCCCTTAATCAATTAATAAACCTAGGGAAAATCAATCATCTAGGTCCTAACTTTCCAACCTGGAGAAATCACAATACACAATCGACACCAGACAAAATTTTTACCAACAACAAAGCCTTTTTCAATTACCATATAATACAAGGACCTCTTACAGGCAGTGACCATCTGCCAATTATACTAACACTGTCAACAAGCCCCATACAGATACCAATAAAAAAGAGACTGAAAATGAGTAAAACAGACTGGGACAGCTTCAAAGACGACTTAGGTAATCACCACTCGATTAACCTACAAGGGAAAACAACAGAAGACATAGACTCAGAAATGGACAGACTGCACTCAGCAATAAAAACATCTATAACCAAACACACTCCTACTTCACACTTTAGAACATTACCCAACAACAGACTACCAGAAGAAGTTAAATTAATCCAAACCCATTACAATGAAATAAACAGGTATATGGAAAGACACGGCAGTAACAGATGGCTATATACGACACAGACAGCACTACAGATAAAATTAAGAGACGCATGTAAGGAAGCAAACAATAAAAAATGGAATGATATTATAATGGCGGCTGACATGACTAAAGACACAAAAACATTTTGGACTTCCATAAACAAGATGATGGGGCAACAAGCAAAAAACACATACATTAAAGACCAAAATGGAACAAATTGCACGAGGAAAATGAACAAGAGTCAGCATTCAAAAGGGAATGGGTAAAAGTTTTAAAATATCAGATGAGGAAAATGAAGATTTTGATAGTGAACACGAAGAAAGGATAGAAGAAGAAATGGGAAGACAAATACATAGAATCACCCCAAGGCAATATATAGACTATAACTTATTACCTAATAATCAAATAATAACCATGGGAGAAATGATGCACTGTCTGAGGAAATTTAAGGAAAAAGCCCCTGGGCTCACAGGTATTACACGAAATATGATCATGAATCTACCTGAAAACATTTTAAATACACTATTAAACATTTATAACGCATGCTTAATAACTGGTTACTTTCCAGACAAACTAAAATATGCTAAAATGATATTTATTCCTAAGGAGGGTAAGGACAATAAGGAAATATTAAACTACAGGCCAATATCTTTATTAGAAATTACCGGGAAACTATTGGAAAAAATATTAAATTCAAGACTTATAGCCTTTTTAACACAACATGGGAAAACTAACAACAGACAACATGGATTTATGCCCAATAGAAATACCCTAACTGCAATAGCTACAATAACGGAAATAATTGCAATAGAAAAAAGCAAGGGTAACCAGATCAATATAATTTTAAGGGATGTTTCTAAGGCTTTTGATAAAGTTTGGCATTTAGGCTTGAAATATAAAATATTAAAACTGGGACTTAACGAATACTTGCTAAGAATATTGTGTAACTATTTAGATGATAGGAGAGCACAAATTCAAATTGGAAACTTTATGGGAACTATGTTTAATCTTGAGAGTGGAGTACCTCAAGGAGGATGCCTTTCTCCAACACTATATACAATTTATACTTCAGACACACCTCAACCTACCCCCTTTAGCGAATATGTAATGTTTGCTGATGATATTACTCAAATAGTATCATACCCAGGAAAATCAACTCAATTTATGGCACTCTACACGGTAAGAGCGATAAAAAACATAAATGATTTTGAGAAAAAATGGAAAATCAGGACAAATAAGAACAAATTCAAGATAATACCAATAGCCAAGATTAAAACAAGTCCAGTAATA